TGTTTTCCATATCTGTGATCTCACATTTGATACCTTTTGTTGAGAACGTGAATCATCTCAAAACAGTCAAGGCTCGGCTTCTGTCTTCTTGGCACTTTGAACTTTAGCCTGAATAAAACTGTTGCTGGGGGTTTTCTTTTAAGATCAACTGGTAGTTCAAGGAACTAAACACGTGGGTGTATGTGTGAATATGTTTGAGTCATTTTTGGTTCAGACAATGGAGGTCAAAGCAGTACAAGTATGTAACAGTCATGAAGTCATGTGCTGCTTTTATGAATGACTCTCCTCTCTCTTCTGTCAGCGCTGTGACAGTCACAAGCTCACTGATGGGATACTTCCTCCTTTGCTCTCGCCTCGTCTTTGTCCTTGTTTTTGCATTTCTGTTTTCTATCACCTCTTCCATGATTATTTCAACTAAAGTCAGCTTTTCTCTCCATTCGTTCAGTGTTAGCTGCACTTTCTCCCTCTTATTTTCATATGTTGTTTTCAGCTTTTGTTCTTTGTCTGTTTTTTCCCTCTTGCTTGCTGTGAACCACATTTTTATTTTTGCTCTTTGTGACTTTCAGAAAGATTTTTTACTCTTAACTTTGTTTCTTATAAAAGAGCTCAGTCTTTTTGTGCTGTTTTTCTTCCTTGCATCTCACTCGGTTTTCTCTCTGTTATGTTTGAAACAAAGGGACCAGTGAACTTGGTGTCAGATTATGCAGATCTCTTCTGGGCTGATCTGAAAACGGCACATCTTATCGTTGCAATTGTTGCACACACATTTGGCCTAAAAGTGAATGGGGTCACGTAACTTTGGAGCAACTTGATATTTTTGAAATTCAAAAATCAGTTAGTGATAGTTGCAAAAAGGGGCCTTTTAGACATTATTACTCCAAGATTTGTTTTTCTCAATGGAAGACCATAGTGTCAAGCCAAAACATACAACAATGCACACAAGCTGAACACATGAAACCAACAGCATAGTCAAATGTATAAATAAGCCGCTCTTGAAATGCAGTAGTCCAATTGCAAAGAGGCATGTGACGGACTAAAACAACCGCCTGATGTCTAATCTTACACACAAGCCTATGAGCTGAACATCGAGCCAGACCCATACAATGCAATTTGAGCTCATTATTTAGGCCAGGCAGGCACCGCGTCACCCTTTTAACAGGCCGGGTCTTTCCTTGGACAGGAGCCAGGAGGGGTCAACTCAAGATGTTTTTGCTTTTTGTAAAGTGATTAAACATTCACTTCCATTAACGGTTGGGCCAAACAAAAGAGCAGAAGAACAACCGTAGAACAGCCAATCACCAGCTGAGTAGTATATTAATCCCTTTAAAGCCATGCAAACCCTGGTTACATGATATATCCTGAGTGATTAGATCCATCACTAACATGTCACTGTATTGGTCTGAAAGGAGTACAAGGTCAGCAAGTCAGTCGTTGAATTATGGATTACTGCCTGGTTGTCACCATCGGCCTGTGAACCTGCAAGAATAGTTCCCATTCAGGGTAAACCCCCAAGTTTGGAACATTTGAAATGTCTTAAAATCACAAGCATGCATGGCCAGAGACCATTGGACGTTTCTCACAGTGGTGACTCTTTGTTATTCCCTGAGTATAGGGTCATAAAACGGCTAAAATACCAATAACCCTTTGAACTATGCACAAAGAACCTGCATTGGAGGACTCCACCAGTGTCAACAAGTGGGACATTTTTTGCTTAGTTTGTGAGAACTTGTTACATGCCTAAGAGGTCAGTAATACTTGGGCTAGGTCCATGAGGGCCTATTGGAGCCTCTAGAACAGATGGAGCTACAGGAAGACACAACTTGAATGTTACTCTGAATGTGTGTTTGAGAGAGAACTGATAGTTGTCTCAAAGAAATAGCTGTTATATCCTGAATAGGCCATTGACTGGCGTTACATTTTATGAATAGACTTTTAGCAACTGGAGAACATAAAACAGGAGCTAAAGTATATATTTTAGCAGTTCACACAAACACACACACACACAACCGTGCCACAGCAGGAATGCCCCCAGAGCCTAATTTAAATTCAGATGGTGGTTTTGCTCCATATTGGTAGGCAGCGCTTCTGGCCTGTAAATACAAAGTGAGCTACAGGATCGAATGCTCGAGATGTTTACATGCAGAAATGGTGAGGCGGCTCACTGTACAGTGTTGCCGCAAAAGAGTTACTCTGTGACAAATGGCTTTGGTTTGACAACTTAACACTGCAGAAGCAACAAGAATGCTGGTCACATGCACGAGAATGTACACATTGACTGTCTTTCTCTCTCACACACACACACACACACAGGACCATACACCAACACAGAGGTATTCCCTGCCCTGTCGAGGCTTACCGACCGATCATTTTGTTTTTGAATACAGGCTGGTGTGGGCTCTGTGTTGGCAAGTGAAATGGACTTAACTGTTCCTTTTGTACCCCTCCCCGCCAACCCTTACTATAAACACTTGTGTCTGGGGACTCTCCCTGCTCCACAATAAAAGGCTAAAATTAGGTCTAGCTCTCAGTCCATCTGCCCGACCCATCCATCCGTCAGAACAGACAGAAATCCTCGACTGTCTATCTGTTGGTCCAATCCCCTGTCAGCTTTATAGCCCCTACTAAATCAACCAGGGGACTGAGTTTCCCCAAAAGCAGGGGGGGGGGACTGCCAGAGCCCGGTGAAGGCCTGTTAGTAAATACGCAACACCATCCTTCACTATATTACCTGAGATGACCACCAGCATTAATAAGATGAGCTGAGTGAAATCACGGGTTGCCTAGCAACAGCCATGGAGCAGTAGCTGCCAGTGAAAACAGCTTAGCGGTTACTTAACTGTTGGGCGGTGTTTCCTGCCAGAAGAAATGTACCACCACTGAAGTCTATAACAGTTAAATATTGAATCCCCCAAATCCCCAATATGGCTATAAATCTAATCCATTATTATTCAATAACTGGTTTCAAGCTCTAGTAACTCCAACAGCCCCCAGCTTATTTGATTGTTGACTAATGGAGTCTTGATTGGCATTTTTTGGCATTAAATAAGCAACAATCAGAGTTAATGTTTTGCTATTATTTATTTAAGTTTAAAACTGGTTCAGGTGATTGGTTCAGAGAAAGAGACGTGACATCACATTTTTCCAGCTGAGCTCTGCGTCCTTAAAACGAGTCACAAGAGTAAGAAAGAAAACGCACAGCTGTTCAAAAATGAGTGCAGTCATCTGAGAAGAGACTATGATACAATTTGATATATTTGAATTTGGCTAGTAGTTGATTTTTAAGATAAGATAAGATAAGATATTCCTTTAATAGTCCCACAATTTTGATATAGATTGATATAGTTGAGGCCAGCCTCAGTAGAGACAGAGGATGATGATGATGATGATGATATAGGGACTCTACAGTCTACAGTTATGTTTGGAATAAGGCTCATTGTCTTGAGCAAAGTGTTAGCGGTGACTCAACTCGCGTTGAAGCTGCAGACTGGTCATACTGAGTGACTGTCACATGTGTCACTTTATGAATGTAAAGCAGGGAGAAGATGCAAACAATAAACAGTACGTGAGCACAGACACAAATATTCCGTGGTTAAGAAAAGAAAAAGGGCTGCATTTCCTGCCTATCTTGGAAGAAACGAGCTGAGTGTGTGTCTGCACTGGCTGCTTGTTATGTGGGTGGGTACACTGTAAATCTGTAGCGGTGGGTGGGTAGCACGTCGTCCTGGCATATCTTTGTTGCTCCCTACTGGTTGAGGTATGAGATCGATGAATGGTAGCTATGGCATGGAGTCCGCCAGCTCTCCCCTGCCCACTGGGAGGCCTGAAGAGATTTTTTTTTAAAGCTTGCTAGAACATCATTTCTAACTTTTCCTTCCTGCTTGGAGCGCAGCCAGTTTGCTGGTCATGCGGATATCTGGCAGACAGCTTGGATAGTCGTAACTCCACTATGGGTAAAATATGCAACACAACAAAGTCCGTTATTAACAATAAATGTTCAGCTTTAAAGGGAAGCTCCATCGATTTTTTTTTTTTTTTTTTACGTGTCAAAGTGTGTTTAGAGGTTTTGGGGAGTACTACTGCATATGTGGAAAAAAGTTGCATAAAGCTTGTGTTTCTCCAGAGTAAGCTGTCTTAAATCTGATAAATTGCCTTAAGTGATGCCACTTGTGTCAGCATTGATTATGTCTAAAGATTAGAAGTCTAAAAATGGAGGGGGGAAAAATCTGTTAGTGGCTTGACATTACATCAGCTGCTACGAGCATAACACACCCAAATATTTAACCGAAGTATCTGCGATCCAGTTTCATTGTGGAAAATGTAGGTACCAGGGTTTTGAGAAGGAAGAGGAATGCATGAAATAAAAAAAGATCAAGTCTTTGTAACATTATGGGGCTTACAATAAACAGTAGTACAGAGTGTAATGCTAAGTTGTGCAGTACTCCTTTAATGAAATCAAGTAGTGCAGTCTTTCATTGACATAGTTCTTTATTCTGATGTGCCAAGTATTTTCTTTTGGATATAGAGACGGTCCTTGACAAAGGAACCTTTTAATGACGGTTTCTCTGTTAGTAATGTCTGAAAAAGTAAAAAAAAGAAAAGTTTTTTTATTGTTTTGTTAAAAGAAAGTAATTAATTGTGTTAGTGGTGAGTTATCAGATTCATAATTTAAAAGCTGAAAACTGCTTCATTCTGTACTGCACCGCACCAGATTGTTTTGGAAGTGTTTTGTTGCTGGAGCATGATCTCATTGTCTCTAATGTGCATATTCCCTGGAAGACTGAAAAATGCTTGAAAGATGTTGAAAAATATGAGATCGTTCTTCACTTTTCCTATTCACTCTGTTTCATCTGAGTAATCTTTGCCACTTTATCAGCTTATTTGTACGCAGTGCATTATTTTCTCCGGCGCCCCTACCTATCTCCCATCTGCCATGTTCTCATCACTTTGTCTTCACTTCCTTTGGTTCCCTCTCTCATCTCTGTATTCTTTCTTCCATCTAGCTGGCCAATCCCCCAGCTGGAGCCCAGTCAGATCAGGCTGATAGTCTACCAGGACTGTGAGAGGCGCGGCAGAAATGTCCTCTTCGACTCCAATGCCAAAAAGAGGGGCACGGAGGAAACCCCTATCACTGTGAGTCACGTGTTTGTGTGTGTGTGTGTGTGTGTGTGTGTGTGTGTTGTCATTTGGAAGTTGGTTTAGTATATGGTAATGAAAAGAGACTGTTTGTTCCAGGTCTTGTTGTAATATCAGGGGTTAATGGAGGCAGTAGAGTAGCTGCAGGTCTTATTTAAAAGTCTGAAACCTAAAAATATTTCTTTAATAGAAAAACATAAAAAATATATTGCAGAATGTGGTCAACTTCCACATTCCTGGACATTTGCTCCCCTGTTTCCCTTTTCTTATCCTCCATATTAATTATTATACTTTGTCTTCATTAGCTTTCTTCAGTCACATATACTAATGTTTCTTTTTTTGTTCAGTTCAATCCAAGGTAGCATTAAAAAGGTTTTAAAAGCTTGAGATTAGAGAGACGGACACAAGCAGTCACAGAGGTGTGACATGCAAAAGAAGTCAGGTAACCGTTTATTGACATTCAGAGGACACAAGCTGGACCTTATCTGCCTCACTGCCCCACCGTGGAAGTCATCTGACCTGAAGGATCAAGTGTGGTAGGAAGAGAATGTGTCCTGTTTAAGGGTGTGTTCTTTGTTTATGATACAGATTTGAATTTGATTTGGTTTAATGACTTATTTCATTTTTTATTTTGTATTATTATAAAAAGGGCAGTTGTAAATGATGGGATTTATTTTGTCCCATTTGTGAAGTTCTTAATATTAAAATGTTTCTATTGGTTTATAGGATTCTAAATTTTATTCAACTGGGTCAGTGATGTCTAAAGTGTTACTTTCTCTGCATTTTCTAAGCTGAAGGCAGATATCACCTGTAAAATCTTACTCTATGTCAAACAGGTAGTCTACTTGTGTGTGTTAATGAGTGTATGAGACTCTGTTGGTTAATTGTGAACACACCCGTGTCAGCCTGAGACGTGGTGATAAAAAATGTTTTACTACAGCTTAGCAGTCTTTATCAGGGTGTGTGCAACAACACGTTTAAACATATCAATTAAGTCTTTTTACTACCAGCTTTGGGTGTATGGCCTCTCCTATACTTCACCTGTCAGCCTTTTTTAATTATGAATAACATGCATAATATTTTCGCTGCTGTGCGTTTCTGTCTGACCCTGACTGGTTTGTTCTGGTGCTCTTATCTCCAATAATAATAGCCTCAGCTGACAGCCCATGTGTAAGCAGCATTCTTTCATCCTCACATGACAGCCGTGTCACTTGCTGTCTGTTGTTTTCTCCGTCTGTCTTCGTCTGTCTCTGCTCTGGTCTCACCCTCTTCGAATCTAGAATCTAGATCTGTCTCTACCTCAGCCGCTTTATTTGTTTTTGTTCCATTTTCACCTTCCCATACTCTACCTCTCTTTATAGTGTTAAGCTTCTCACTCTACACCTGCCCATCCCTCCTCTCTGTCTTTCTCTCTTTCTCTGTGAACTCGGTCTCACTTGCCTGTTTGCTGCCTCTTTTTCTAATGACCAGGTTTTCTCTGTCTGCTCTCAGTATTGTATCACTTTCTCTCATCTGTCCGTCCACCTGCCTCATTATCATGTCCATAGCTTGCCATCACACAGATACCCACTGATACACAGTCCTGACTGTCTTGTGACGCCCTGACATTAAAAACTGGATTGTCAGTTTGCGCAACTTTCTCAGCTCATTCATGTGGCTTTACTCAAGCCCTACATTTGGATTGGACTCGTGCCATATATAGAACCACAATAAGTACGGTTATGCAGTGACATTTGTTTGAAGTGAGCGCAGGATAATGCATAGAGAAATGCAGTAAGAGGAGTCTGTGCAGCGTGTGAGTTCTGCCTGGGCCGATGTCAATATTTTTGGTGCATTCTGCATTGTTAGGGCTTTGCCAGCCACTGTGTGACTTCTATCACATGATGGCTGTTTTTTCTTTTCTTTCTTTCTTTTTTATGTTGTTTTTTCCGTCAAGTCAGAGGAATTTATTTTAGCGAGATCAACAGCAGGAATGAGGAATAGAGAGACAAGGAATGGACAGAGATGCATGGGATGGTTAAGAAAGAGTTGAGAGAATGATGAAGAGAAGGGGGTTGGGAAAGGATAAAATGTAGGGAAAGAGAGAGGTGGAGACGAAGGAAACAATCTGGTCCAGGAGAGAAGATAGATGTATTAAAGGAGAGAAAGAAAGCTGCAGGAAATATAGAGGGATGAAGTTGGAGTGGTAGAGGGAGGGAGGGAGGGAGGGAGAGAGAGAAAGGGAGGGAGGGGATGATTGCAGTGCTGCTCGATCACGAGTTCCCGAAAGAGTCATATGACTGGCAGTCACATGCTGCTGGCCTCTGTGTACACACCTCACATTGCACTGCAGCGGACACGCATACACCCATGTACACACTCAAACACACACACACTCACTCAGATTCAGTTTGGCTTCATTAGCATAAGAAAGCATGTTACAAAATCACTCAGATTAATGAGAATAAAAAAGCACCGTTGCAAGTTGCATACGTGTCTACAGTATTTACTATTGTGCTTTGAAAGAGCAGAAAGAAAGAACAGTCCTTCTTCCCCTGCCTGTTTTCTTTCTCATTCTGTTTCTCTTTGTCCCCCTCTCATTTTTCCTTTCTTTTCTCTTCCTCATTGGCAGCGACCGTGGTTTCAAGTGAGCCATTACCAGAGCCTAGCTAAACACATAGTCACACTCTCTCTCTCTCACACACACGCACACACACACACACACACACCCTCCCCCTCCTCCACTCCCCACCCTCCCAAATGCATTCCTCTTGAATACTCTGCCAAGTTGAGAAGGCACATGACACAGGCTGATCTAGCTCACATTGCTTTTAGTTTGCTGTTTACATGGGTGCCTCTGGGTTTGGTTTCTGTAGTTTTCAATCTGAACAATTGAACTTCATTTATGTTTTTCCATTATGAAGTGTACTTGATATGGGCCAGTGACTTTTTGGTTTTGGGACTTGGGAAAATGTTGAGGCATCAGGGTGAAATTAGACATAAAATGTGACTTTTTATAGGTGTTGTTTTTTTCTCATTATGTTTGTTAGCAAAGGCCTCCATAACTGAAATCCCCCTGCATTAAAATCCTCTTGACTTTGTTATTTATTTCCACGTGTATGGACTGTTCCCACATAAATGGGAACAAACCCCTTTTAACAACTAAACACATAAATGTCTGTATCTTTCTGGGTGATTTCATGCAAGTGTGCACAAAAGAGGTTCCAGGTCATTTTAGTTGCATTAATTGTTCCTTTTGTTCTGTTTATTTATGAAGAGGAAAGGTAACACATCCAAAATGCAATGTTTAGTTATTGCTGCTGAATGTACTTGGTTTGAAGTGGCTGGTATGCTTTGACCTCAAAAGCTCAAATAAATATGGGTGTAATATGAGGATTATTCCTTTAAATGAAGTGTATTTTGATATTCCGATGTAACTTCTGCATAGTTAAACGAGCCTGTGTTTATGGCATTTGGCCTATAATACGCTTTTTTTTTTTTTTACCCCATAGAGCGCAGAGGGACAGGTGAAGATGTTCGGGAAATGCTGCCAGCTCCGTCCTACAGGAGGAAGTAGCAGTTCCCTGGACAGCTCCTCCTCTTGTACCTCCGAAACCAAGGAAACCAAGGAGCAGGGCCTGCGCTTTCAGGTAACCCATATCTGAGATAGAAACGTATATTTTTATTCCTCTGCAGTTATGCATATACAAACTCACACATTTGCAGCTGCATAAGAAGATATACACACAAAACGCTCACATACATATGTGTATATATACTTCAGGTAACCTTGTTAGACAAAAAAATATTCAGTTCACTTTGGAGTTCGTTGCTCTTAAAGGGTAACAACATTAAAAATTCCTCCTCTCCTCAACAGGGTTCAAAGTGTTCGTCGGATGTGGTCATGCTGGGGGAAATGATGTTCGGTTCTGTGGCTATGAGCTACAAGGGTTCCACACTAAAAATCCACCAGATCAGGTAAGAGGAATAGGGATGCATCAGTGCCTTTTTCCTTTACAGCTGATACTGAAATAAAAACAAAACGCATCCTTTTGACCGTGTGTCAAAGTTTACATTTAATGTGGAAATGAAACATCTGTACTGGAAAAAGCATAATAATATGGGTTTTGGGATTATTTCTTTGTTGAAATGTGTGGTAAAGTACAGTAAGTGAATAAAGAACGGAAGGAAACAAGAAGAACAAGAAAGAAAAGGAGAAGTTGAATTGAGGTTAAAGAAGAGACAAGGTTGATGTGGGATGTAAAAAGACACAAACCTGCACAAGCGCATGAATTGAGCACACATGCTTATCTTTGTCCCTGCACTATCGTCAAATCAGATCGCCACCTCAGCTGATGCTGAGTAAGGTCTTCACCGCCAGGACGGGAGGCAGCGTGTATGGCAGCCTCAACACGTAAGCACACACGCTTATCAACACAAACACACCCACTTCTCGCTCTGATTCCTATGGCAAGTTCTTCCATAAGCCAGCACATGCATCTCTTCTTTCCCTCTCCCCCTCTCCATCTGTCTCAGTTATGGTCTATATTCCTTTATGTCAACTGGGGATACTGTCACTCTGCCTGTCTCTGTTTATTCAGTCTGTATTCAGTTGTTTTGTTGTGTTTAGTTTCTTACCAAATGTATTATGTTCAATATAATTGTGCAGTGGGATGTTTTAAAATAATCCACATAAACCTAACTTTGTTCCTTTTTTTTTTCCCTGTTTCATCTCCCACAGGTTACAGGACAGCTTGGAGTTTATTGGACAGGACAGCAACACCCTAAGGCCTGATCAAAACAGCGGGGCCAACAGTTTACTTGGGAACATAGGTAACCAGAGAAACCCAGTGCAACACCAAACCTTGTTAACCCACCAATGCCACTCCTCCTGTTTTCTTTCAGTTCACTCGTGATTTGTAAGTAGGTGAAATGTTGTTTTTGTTTTGCTCATAGCCAGACACATAGTCACCTTCTTCTTAATGGGACTTGTAGAACACCTACGACTACATACTCATACTCATATTTTATTTAGTTTTTTATGTTGCCTCAGTAACTTTCAGTGCTTATAACTCCCTTTGACAATAAACCCCAAACAACTTTAATGGAGGAATACTTGACTGTATGGAATATTTTCAGTATTTTGTTTAGTTTACACATTTGAAGCGCATTGGTAGAACTGTGAGGAAGCAGTGGATTTTGTTTCTCTTTCTGAACCTTTTAACATTCCTGTTTGAATACAAACCAGGCTGGATAGATTCTGCTCACAACTCTCCCTTACTGCTGCTCCCCTACACTAACCTCGTGAACAGTTGAAGAACTTTCAAACTGATCAAATTTGCATAATCAACTATTATCCTATAAAACACTTAACATATCTTTGCTGTCTGGCTTAGAGTATGACAGCCTCCCAGTAGAAAGAAACTGTTTTTTAAATTCTATCCTTTTGTGAATCATCCTCACAGAAAAAACAAAAATCATCATATTGAACACATCAGAGACTTAAAGCTATAATGTATTTGTTTGATTTGCTGTCTTTTCTGTGAGTGATACCAGCCTTCTTGTTTGTCTGACTGACCTACCAGATGAGGGTCATTATTTCACTCCAGACTAAAAAGCTCCTGTAACTCAGTTGTTTGAGTTGGTCGGATAACAGGAGGCAGCTAGCTTTCCTCCTTACTCAATCACTAACCATGGTTCATGTTTTGTTGTTTTTTGTCTTTTTTCCCTCTTCCTCCCTTTCCACTTTTCCATGTATTTGTTTGTGCTGCGCAGGATTTTCTCAGCTCTGCAGCCCTCGACGGGCCTTCTCTGAACAAGGCCCTCTGCGCCTCATCAAGAGCGCATCTTTCTTTTCAGGTTGGCGCTTAAAACTGGCCATGTCTGATGTGTGCCAGTTGCATGCGTGTGTGTAGGCTGTAATTGCAGTAGTAGTGGTTGTACAGACCTTGACTCTCATCGGCTGCATGCCCGTGTGGTGATTCTTGCACTGGAAGTGGTAGCAGTAGTCACAGCATGCAATATCACAGCACGTCTGCAAATAACCTGGGTCGGATAGAAGCTGCAGAGACAATTCTTTGAGGTGGTTCCCACCAGACATGTTTGGTATGTGCCTCTTCAAAAAACAAGATGATGTCTTTGCTTAAAATTGTTCATTTGGGCAGGTTAGAACATTTGGATTCAAATCCAGGCGGCACCAAATAACTGCGAAAATGCAGACTTTACCCTGCTTTAAGACATTAAGACTAAATCACAGAGGGATATGTATGACTTCAAACACCTTCTGTTCCTTTGTTTTGCTAATGGCAGTGTAAAAAGAACCTCACCCATCAGCTATGAAGGTTCCTCAAACAAATCATAAAAGATATTTGCCAATACTATCCGACCCAGGGCTGCAGGTGTGTTACGCATGCATAAATGGCATGAACGGGTTCTCACTGGTGTCGGTGGCTGTAGTTCTAGTTTAAGTCTTGGCAGTTCCTTCTCCTTATTTTCTTTGTGTTCTTCACTCACAATCTTTCACTAACTTGTCTTTGACAGTGACCATGATACTTGGGCAATGAATATAGGCTTTATGTGAGGTTTAACCATCAACTATGACAACATCTTTACTTTTCTGCCAGTATTTAGTGGACTGTTGTATTTAAGCTTCTGTTTTCTTCCTTATACACCTTTAAAGATACAGAGAACATTTGCCTGTGCATGCATGTACACATTCAGTAACATTCTCACTCACATCCACTCAGTTACACACAGTCTGCTGTGGGCCGCTGAGCCGCTCTATCTCAGCAGCTGGTGGTGAAATGCCTTGTTTAAGGGCACCTTGGCAGTAGCTGTTTGAAGGAAAGAAAAAGGTTGCTTAATATTCCACTTTGTATTCTGTCCAAGTATTTGAACCAGTTATATCTCAATCACAACCCCACTTCCTAAAATGCTGTGCATAGTATAGGTGGGCACAGTGGGGAATCCTCAGTGACACATGCGCCAAAGACTCATAATATGACACCCACTTCATTGCCCATTTATCATCACTGTAAAGAAATGAACTGAAATCTCTGATGAATCTTTTTGATCAGCTTGACGATTTCTAGCAGGAAGAGTAAGTACGCACATAGGTGTGTGTTTACTAGACAGAACAATTCAGAAAGCTACAAAGTCTTTAAGTGTTTAACTGACAACTTTGACTGATTGCAGCAATAGAATAATGAACTATAGAACAATAAACTCATTTCTATCATTCATGATATGCTGATCAAAGAGCTCCTTTGTCAGAAGTACTCAGTGGTTATTCCTCCCTCCCTAAAACCTCTGCCCTTTAGTGAAGTGGTGGTGAGTTTTAGAAAAAGGGCCTCTCCCTGTGCCATGCTGCCTACCCACAGTCCTGTCCAGGGCACCCTTAGGTTGGCATGGCATGTAGCTCTGTCAGTTATGTAATGTTGGTATGGTTATAAAGCACAATGTTCCACAGGGGAGCACATACATACATACATACATACACACACATGCCAACACTCCTGAAGGCTTCCTCGTTTATTATCTCAACTGCACATTGAATTGTTGCATTTTGAGGTTTTCACACCTCGCTGCTGTGAGACGCATTGACATTTTTCCCATTTTGCCTTGAACTGTCAAGTAGGACATTTGAGAACATGCAAACAGGCTCGGTGACATCCATATGATGGTGTCTGTTGAAGAAAGTTACACTTAAGCTGTAGCAGCTGTTTGCTGTAGATAGTGACAGAGAATAAGCCAGTGAGCAATAGCCTATTACAGCAGTAGTGCTTTTTGCTGTATTTGTGTTGCTTCTTACACTTCCTGTTTTTTGTTAAGAAAAACAAATGGTGCACTAACAGCATGAGAATCATCAGGAATGAGTCGTGCTTGTGTTTGGACTCTTTATTTTTGTGGTTCATAGTCTAATGGTGGTCCGGTTGTTTTGAATAAGCCGCCTGGCCTTAGGTCTTTTTTCTTTTAATTTTTTTTGCTAGATTAAACGTCCATTTCAAACATTTTCAACCTAATATTTACTGTATGTACTTTGTGAACCCTTACTCATGGTGCTGCAGTCACTGGACAGCCAATAGCAAGAGGATTTATAGTAAAAGAATAATGATTGCAGTTCTATGGGGACAAATAGATATTTTCTATAGTTCGAATGCTGAAGCTATAATTGTTTGTGGAGTAGAAGAGCACTACAAGGCTTTGCCTGGGTAGAGATAAGAGCATCCTCAGCATGCCCCGGTGCTCCATTTAGCTGATTACATTTTCTGTTTCTCACAGGTTGTTTTTTTGTCTCTTTTTTTTTTTTTGTCTGTCATCCCTCTCACTTCCTATATTTTCTTCCCTTCATCTAACTTGCTCTTTTCACTTCTTAATTTCCTTCTTCTTTTCCTTCCTTTCTGTTTATTTATAACACCCATCTACCTTCCTACCCTCTGCCCTCTCTCAAACCCCTTTCCTTTACCCTCATCCCTACTCTTTACTTTCTCTCTCCGTCTTCGTCCTCCCTTCCTGCAGGCCACAGTCACCCCATGGACATGCCTGGCCGAGGGCTCTACGACGAGAGGGACAGCGGCATCGCCAGGTCAGGTAGGTTAATGAGACTAGGAGACAAAGCCTGGATTGACCTACACACAACACAACTTTTAGCCCTCTGATTGAGCTTTGAATTGGGTTCACATTTATTCTTGTCAAGGAACAGAGAAGATCAAGTGTAAATCAGGAAATGATTGGGCTATTACTTACTTACTTAGAGAGTTATTTGTCTCATCCTCAAACACATCCCAGGTTCCCACATGTGTTTTTTAATCTCTTCATTCTGTCATTGTCTGGATTGCCAAAAATATAAGTGATTCAGCTAATGAAGCACTTCCCGGGTCAAAATGGATGACCTGCTTTAACGTCACTGTTCAAGGTCAATAGAGTGAACAGTTACACAAGCACTGGGTACTTGGTGGTGCTTCAGCTGCGACTTCACTAATGTGGCATGCAGCTGCACATGCAGACAGTTTTCCATTCATTAAAATGACCCATAGTTGCCCCCTCTCGAGGCTGGTTGTGGTGTGTATGGAAAGAGAGTGAGAAAGGTGTGAGATGCTAAGAGAGGCACAATTCCTCTCTCCACTGCCAGTCCTTTAACCCTGAAATGTTAGAAGTAAAACCAGAAAGACAAAAAGAAAGAAGATGATGCAGGGGTTGAAGACAGTGTGGAAGTGTGTTTACAGGGCCTCTACGGTCCAGAAAACCTTGTGCAATGGAAACTGCCCCCTGCCCCTTCTGTGCTCTGCCCCCTACCCCCTCTACAAACACCACCATGTCCCACTGGCATGAATGGTATGATGGGAATTGTGCTTTCTGCACAAACCCGGGTCACATGCAGATTAAATATAGCAGCTCTCAAAACCTGCTACTAGTAAATGAGCTTCTAATTCAAGCCTTGTCCTCTCATCTCCACTCTCTCCACCCCCTCCACCCCCCCACTGTGGTTGGGCTAAAGAGCTCTTTATCTGACACACACACACAAATACATAACACGTCCCTCTGTGACACAAAATCTCCTCCCATCTACCTCTGTTGTCTTTTACTATAGCTCTCCAGCACTGTTTTCTCTTTATACATCATACACACTCTAAATCACTCACCTCCATGAAGTTTATCTATCTTCACACACACACCTCTACACACCATGTAAATGGTTCATGTGACCATTGATCAGAGCCTCCTGCCAGGGCTGTAAATAACCTTGTGATCAGGGCTTGTATTATGTGTGCGTGTGTTTGGGTAGGTTGTCATTACCATGCCAGCCTGGTGTAAAGCCAGGTTGTCCAACAACTGCAGCATGTGACGGTTAGCAGAATAACTGACATTTGATCTCATATGAAAGCTATCCAGTACTTAGGGACTGCGTTTTAAGGAAAGGTTAAAGAGGGGTGATTGTGTTTGGATGTGTTTTTGTGTATCTTTGTGTCTTGTGTGCTGTATTTGTTTGCCCTTTTCAAGTTCTTTGTCTTAGTAAGAACAGTTATTGTCCTCTAGATTTCAGTCTAGCTCTGTGCGGTAGTGTGTGTGTACAAAGTGTCATTCAGAATGAGTAACCCTACGCACTTGTCTGACTCACTCTTGTCCTTTTTCTCTTCTGTCACCCACCATTCCCTCCATCTGTTCCCTGTTCTCTTCTGTTCTTCTTCTCCTCATTCTTGCTCTCTTAATTCTTCTCCTCTCCTCTTCTCTATCCACCTCCAAAACTTCTTTCCATCCCTCCTTCTCTCCCTTTAGCTTCTCTGAGCAGCTTGTTGATCACTCCCTTCCCGTCTCCTGGCTCTTCCCTGACCAGCAGCTGTGCATCAAGCTACCAGCGCCGATGGCTCCGTAGCCAAACCACCAGCCTGGAAAATGGCGTCTTCCCCCGATGGTGAGACACATACAATCATACATGCACACATACCTGTCTAGGTTTTCACAAGTAAACTTTGAGTAGTTAAAGTGACACTTAGGAGTGTGTTTAAGGTCCATGGCCTTTTCTGTGTAACTTTCCAAACGCGCACTTAACAGACTCCCAATCACCAACCCCTTCTTCATTTTTCTTCCCTGCTCAGGGCCTTTGTCAGGCTTTTTTAAAGTTTATCCTAGGGCTTCCTTAGAATCCAGCAGACAACTGGGAAAATGACACACTCTGCTGCTATGCACTCACAAACACACACACACATACACACTCACAGTGCTGTGACTAGACAGGATGCTGTGTTGGCCTGTCACTGTAAATGCAGCTGTCGGCCTTTGAGTGCTCTAATCTCCCAGGCGCTCCAGTTCAGCAGCACCAAAGCATCTTGTTTACCAGCTGCAACAGTAAAGTGAAGATTAAAAGTGATTTTTCATATCATATGTTATCGTTTCTGCGTAAGTTTTGAAACTGGTTATAAAGAATATATACTGGCCATATCTAAGCAGTAGTTCATAGTATTAACCTGCTGAATTAGTACAAAAAACACATTATTCAGTATTCTGACGTGTTACGTGAGGTAATATGTAAGGTAAGATAACTTCTTTATGGGCAAAAGTACTAGGGTTGTTATTTGGAAGTGATATCGGTCTGCCTCTGCACTGAGGCTGACTTCCTGTTTACCCTGTGTAAACTGATCAGGTCAGTCGAGGAGAGCTTCAACATGTCTGACGAAAGTGGTGGACCAAGCCTCGGTGTGGCTCGGAAGAAGAAGATTGCCATTGGGGTCATCTTCATGCTGTCCCCCAACCCCGAGGAGAACAACCGCTTCCAGGAATTTTTTTTCTCCCACTTCCCTCTCTTTGAAAGCCACATGAACAAACTAAAGAGCTCCATCGAACAGGTGAATAATTGTGTTAGACTGTGATTATACACCCACTAATTTCCCTTTTTTGATGTCGACATTAATGTTTATATATACCCCAAAGATTATTTTTTTGGTATTAGAAGTGTGTTTCCCCTGTGCTTTTCAATGGGAGATGATCATTTTACTGCGTTTGTATTCTGGATCACCTCCCTGATTGACACTGTGGAGATAAGCCTGTCAATGAAATTCATTATGCGGTGACATATGAACAGTACTCAGTGAAAACCTTTGCTGTTGTAATGAGCACAGTTGTTGTCAGATTGACCAGTCAATGGTCATACCTTCTATATCTGCGGTTCTGTTTACTGGTGTCTGCTGTTGGCACCGTCAAATCCCTGGATGACTTCCAGTTTTACCCTCCATCTTTCCTTCTGCCCCCCCCCCTACTGTTCGCCCTTACAAATTCCTTGCTCCACCTTTCCTGTAACTTTGTTTGTCAGCTTGATTGCCAAATATCTCAAAGCGTGTTTGTGTTGTATCACTCTCAAGGCCATGAAGATGAGTCGGCGGTCAGCTGATGCCAGCCAGAGGGCCTTGGCTTACAGCCGAATGGTGGACGGTCTTAACGAGTTCAGGTTGGGCAACAACTCACATTCAGTCACTATGACATAGACAGCAATCTTACATAATCTGTATTTTCCTTATTTCTCTCATGGCCAAACTTGTAAACATGTCATAAACACCCTAAAACAACTTTTTATCTCTGTAATAGGGAGACCTCACATACTTTATAACTTCATAATTATATAACTGAGACTATCCTGCAATATAACACAGGGATTCAATAATATAGCATACATTAGAGCAACATGTTTTCCATGGGACAAAAACAGCCAAACACAATGGCTCACATTTCTTAAACCAGCATGTTTACCGTCTTTTTACTGCATGTTTATTAGCAAACTCTAAAACACACAGTTCCAGCCAACATCACTGTGTTATTCATTTTCTATGTACTGTGGCCAAACACTCCTTCTCCTCTTGGGTACATAGCAAAGTCTCCACATCATGGAGACTTAGAAAACGTGTGACATTAAAAATCTGTTTTCAGGAAATAAATGCTACATTTAAAAGACTTGGTATTTACATTATGGATCTATTCACCATAAAATCTGACATGGGAGCAAATTTTATCCAAGGCCTAGTCTTGTTGAATTGTAGTTACATACACCAGTAATGTAGGTCACCATGTCCTCATACTTATCTGTTACTATGTTATGGTACTAACATTTGGGCAGCTTTAATAACCTGAGAAGTATTTTGCATGTGACTTTCATTCCAACCATAGTTTGTTAAGCTAGTGGGCTACCAGGCATCATTTAGAGTTTCTTTTATGAAGGTATGTCAAGCAAGCAGTATACTGTGTTTATCAGATATTTACCATTTAATGGGGCTTGCATTTTTTGATTTTAATATTTCTTATGTTCACTGGTGACATTACATTGATACGTAACTTCCATAAATATTGAATCAGATGCTGATTTTCATTGCTACAAGGAGCAAGAGAAAAGGCTTTATAGCATTGGTTACATGATTACTGTCAGCAGTGGTGTAAGAAGTATTTAGATGCTTTACTTGAGTAAAAGTACTACTACCACGCTGTGACAACAAGTAAAATTCCAGCATTCAAAACCTTACTTAAGGAAGAGAAAGTATTATCAGCCGAATGGACTTAAACCTACCTCAAGGTAATACTACTAACTGGTTATGAAACTGTCTCAATTCTGTACTGTTGCCTGGAATGCAGTGAGTGTATGAAAGCTGTCAGACAAAAGTAAAAAGTACGATATCGTGCAAAATGAAAATTAACTAATGAAAAGTAACTAATATTTGTACTTACTTATATTAGGTCAGTACAGAGTAAATGTATTTACCTACTTACATTACAGTTACATTCCATCACTGACTGTCAGTGAACATCTAGTGTCTCTGTGTAAGAAGGTGAATTTATGGGATCTCAAGGTAACAGAGGTGAGGAGAAGGGATTCTGTAATTCTGCTCCAGTTACGGATGCCGTGTGCTGAAGTGTCACAGCAATTAATAATTAATGCTCACCATGGTTTATGTGTGCGGATAGCGTGATGCTAACAGTCTCTGCCCTTCCTCAGATGTTCTTTTTCTGTTCCTTTTTAGGTGAATGAACAAAAATTATAACATAGATTCTAAGCCCAGTAAGAGATGTTGAAATATGTTGGGTAAAAGAAAGGAGAAACACACTGTTCCCCACCTGTCTTTTGCAAACCATAGATGTTGCAATGCAACTAGTGCATCCTGGGAGTTCTTGCTTTGGGGCTTTGGTTGTGGTTTTTAGGGAAGCTTATGTGACCAAAGTTTTTTAGAAGCTCCCAGTTATCTCTCAACTCTGCATCACAACTACTCTGTAGTTGTATTTAATCATTACTTGTGATGACATGAAGTATGAAATCATTAATTTCTACTGATTAGGTTCCAAAATTGTGTTTGTGTGCTTGTGCGTATGGATGAGACATGCTTGTCAGTACTGTATGACAGTGCTATATTGGTACTCATAAAACACGCAAACTGATTTTAGTTGTGACGTGTGCGCACGCACGCTTGTCTCCACAACTACTTTCCCTTGCAACACACACACTGGCAGGCAGTTCCCTGTCTGAGGTCCCCTCATTGCTGCAGTCATATGCCTGTTGGCAGCCGTCCACAGCAACCCAAGCCTCCTGAGTGGCAACCCTATCTACCTCCGACTCTAGCCACGAGCACCAGAATAGTAAATAATATGTGAGTGCCAGCAGGAGGAAGGCTATTGCTCAGGACAAACAAAATATCTGTAAAATCTCACCTTCAGACAGCTGCTAAATATAAGTGTAGCCACCTTTGCCATTAAGGGGTTTTGACTTCATGGAACATTACAGAAGGAAACTGGAAGAAATGCCTTTGCTTGATGCTGCTTTGACGTAGTTGGAGGGTTGACACAGAAATACTTACACTTGTGGGTAAAGATAAGCTGCTCACTTAACGGAGGCATGTGTACATAAAAGTGACACTAGCCTATATTGGGGTTACGCTAGGGTCTGCAGTCAGAGTGCAAGCAGGAGTACTAAGAGAAGCAAATCCACATAACCCAAGGGTTAGAAGTCTAGTTCCCATTTTTCCACACATACATGAAATAAAATAAAAAACCCAGCTCTGAATAAGAATATTCATTGAATAAAAGTATTTACCAAATTGCAGCCACCAGAAATTGTGGGACTCTAAAGCCTAATAATTTCTTTGATGTTGTTAAAGCAACATTCATGCCCAACATGATGGTTTTTAAGGGCCTATAATAGCATAAAGTGAACTGAAGCAAAAGTATATTATGAAAGCATAAAAGTCACTGAAGAGTTCAAATTTGTCCTGCAAAATTTCTAATGCATACATTTTTGCTATATACTACACATCTCGCTATGATAAGTGGTAAATCAGTAAAGTGACACATTTATTTTGGCTCAGAAACTACATTGCTGTTTAAATGAGAGTGTTAATATATGAACTTATGCTGCAGTTTCCCCCCAAAATGAGATTATTGATTGATGATTGGAACCACAATATCCTATCCTATCCTATCCTATCCTATTCTATCCTATCCTGTACGTGGCTCACAGCACATAGGAAAATCAAAAGCTGTAGATGAGGTCAGAAATGTTTGAATTGCTGCCCTCCATAGTGAGGTAATTTTAAATCAGGCTCTTCAGCCTGACGCATCAGTTTAATTTCAAATCACAGCCGCGCTCTTTAAAGTTCACCTGAACAGCTGCTGCAGAGAGACTGAGACTAGATCTCCTGCTCATCTAGTGCTTGCACAGCCTCTTTTCCCAGTTGGACAGCGGGGTCAAGTGGGTCTTAAAAAGGCCACGGATAAGTCAACCTGTTCATAACACAGGGTTGAATAAAGTATTATTAGCTCATTTGACGCTGTTGTGCAAATTGACTGATTGTCTCTGCTGCCCTGCTATCAGCGAGATGTGGAGAGCGTCAGAGACATGTTTTGCATGTGCCGAGTGACGTGAAGTCCATTCTTGTTTACCCTGCTATGGCCTTTTAGTACTGCGTTTATGTTTCTGTTCCTTGTGCACTCGCACGCTTGTAATGGCTTGTTCTTGTTGAATGATTGATTTGTTGGAGAGACAAGACAGCGGCAGTTTTTCGAGCCAAGAATAATAATTATTTTTTATGTAATAAACCATATGCAGCTGTTTATATTTTAGTAGTGAGTTATTTTTTGAAGGATGAGCAATTTTCTCAAAGTTGTCATCCTTGTACTCTACCACAGTGAACTCCTCCTGTCATTCTGTTGATTATTAATCTTGAGAGGACAGGTTTAGGGTCACAGCACTAAACTCTTTAGTCAAAAAAAGAACTGCTTGCAACAACGGTATAGTAGTGCCATTAAATCCATTTGTTCTTTTCACACCCAGTTGTTTAGAGGTTCTTCTTATAAACCCATAAACAACAACTACACATGCACTTCCTGTATTTCTTGGAAAAATGTATCAACCTAAAATAGCTTGATTACTGGAATACTGGAGTTCTAGTGAAGGTCACTTTCAATCGTTGACACCTGTGCTTTCTCTCAGCATGCAGCCTGTCTGAATCTCCTCTGTCACTATGTTCTTAACAGGTCAAAGAGGTTGTGAGTTTATGGCAGAATTAACATTTATAGCCTGAGATCTCCTACAGTTTCCAGTAAGACTAAATAAAGTTTGGAAAGCAGCACTGAGTTTTTATTCCTTGTGTGTTGTGACAGATCACCTGGTGTGGTAGCAGCTGTTTGATTTATTATAGTTTATTTTCTTACGTTTATTTGATTATTATTAATATTTATTATAGTTTATTACACTGTCAGGCTGGTTATGCTGTTGTATTAGCCGTGTTTGCTGAAGATTGCAATTGTCTTTAAAAAATGTTTTCAAGTAATTAGAGTAAGCAGATAAAGGCCAGAATCCTGCAGCTGCAGTCCATATTTCAGCTAAACACGATGAAACTAAAAACGCCTGATTCTCCACATTCCTCAGGCTGCAGAGATTCCCCACTGCCCCTGTGTCAAAGCTTGGCCCCCAGCCGAGACATGCTCACCAACACACCCCACGTTCCATGGAAACTCCAGTCCTTCTCAATGGACAAATGCCCCAACTCAGCCACATACAGATAGATATACACACAAGCACACACACGCACACTGCATAGCTACACACATAAACAGAAATATATGGGATGTATCATCTTCCTTTTCCTGTATATCACTGAGGCAAACTTGGTAATTATAATATTTATACATATATTTAAAAAAAAATCTAAATTATAAATGAAATGAAAAAAAACATGCACTGGACGAATACAAGCATGCATTTACATGATGAGACCTGAAATCATCACCAGTACATTTCAAATGGTAGATGATGCACCTCTACCACTACCACTGCCACCACGACCCCTGCCCCCAACTCGAATAAACCTCCCTGCACTCCCGGCTACACTCATTGTGAACATAGATACATTGTCATGACGACACAGAGTCCAACTGTTATGGAGCACTGCAACAGTTACAGATGTTGCTACATGTACAGTGGAGTAAGCAGTATGAATAT